GGGCCGGCGTTGTTGCTCTCGATTCACGCGGCGCACGTTCCCAGCGAGAATGCTGTAGTGTAGCTGTGCCAATATACAGTCTGCATTTTGTGGGTTTTTCATTTTGAGGTGGAAGTCTTGGTTTGGGTACAGGTTTGGGCCAGTTTCTGTTCAGTTCATGATGGGGGCTTATAGCGGGGCTCTTTTGATGTTCATATTATTGAGAGACTCTATAATACTTAACCGAAAACACTGCAGACTCTCTTGATGTCTATATTCCTTTTTACACACATGCAGGTTCCAAGCTCGTTCCTGCGTCACTGGGATCCACTTGTGCTCCATCACGTTTCCTGATGCGAAATGTGTCCATGTGAAGATGCTTCGGGCGGAGTTCCGTTCTCACTTTGTCGAAGCCGGAAAGATCACGCCGGGCCAGAGCATGGAGCTCGTTGCCTCCTTCACGGGTGGCGTTCTACCGGATGTGGTCGGATGGCTGTGGGGTGATGATCTTGTGAGTTCGGTTAAGCCGTCCCGCCGCGTCACTAGAAAGTCTAGGCCTTCTGAAGTGACACTCCGAAAATACTTCATGCATCCTGAGGAGTGAGCACTGTACGTAGACCATGCACATGGTGCGAAATTTTGAGGGGGGCCATCTATGCATCCGTGGATCTTCAGGCTTGAAAAAATGCTGCTATCTAAAGTTCGTGCAAGTGCATGCTTCCCCATGCCTGCACATGAATCTGGCAGCGTCTCGTGTACACTCGGGGTATCAGTGGCTGCAGGGCTTTTGCTCGCGCCTTTGGCTGCAGGGCTTTTGCTCGCAGCTTCTTAGGGTTGCATGCTAGTGTGTTTTATATGGTAGTGCCGCGATGCCCACCTTGAATGCCGAGCACAAAACAAACATCGCGGCTTTCCTGGCCAAAGCCGAGAGTGGCAGCTTGGTGCAGGGTATGGATTGCCTCCTGGAATACCTCCTCAAGCACAGCTTTGCGTACAAACAGCGCATCCGATGCGAGCACATAGGCTGCCACGAACTCAACAGGGACGGACAAGGAGTGAGCGCGGAACACTGCCACGAGCTCTTGAGCTCACTAGCATCTCTGGGGTTTGTCCCCGGACAGTGCAAGTCGGTATGCCTCGAATGCCCCCCTGATTCCCGCGGCGACGCCACCCGGGCCTTCAACAAGGCAGTGATTGACAGAGCAGGCGGCAAACTGGCACCACTCAGCCTTGGCCCGCTGCGCTACTCCACCATCCTGGGCTCACACACCAACCAAGCATTTCGGCTAGTGGTGGCGAAGCTGGCTCACGCAAATGCTGCGTTGACTTCCGACGGATTCTTGAACATCGAGAAGGTTCGGGAGGTCGACGCCGCTTTAGCTGACGCGAAGCTTCCTTCGCAAGAAGTGTGTGTTTGTAATACGTATATGTATGTATGTATGTATATGTATATGTATGCATGTATTTATGCATGTACGTATCTATAGAAGCACAATACAAACTTGCAATTAAAACGACCAGCAAAGACACTAAACATAATCAACAAACAAACATTGACACTGCAGAAACACAGAACAACGTGAAACACATCAAGAAAAGCATTCAGCAAACTCCATGAAAAGGCGTTGGGGGTTTATGCTTTCGGAGTTTATAATAACGACTGTGTCTACCACACACCTTGGCGGTGTGTGACAAAGTCGTTCTCTGCAGGATCACCGAAGGAATCGAATGGGTTATCGTCGGTCATGAGATCCAGGATGAGTTCGTTAAGTTCGCGACTTTGTTCCAGGCCGCAGGCAACGCTTGCGGACAGATCTCGAAACCCGAAGATGAAATGCAGATTGCGAAGAAGATCCTCTTGTCCGTCCAGGGCTTCATGCAGCTCAACGGGACCAACCAGGTGAAGTATGAGGACGTTTCCAAGGAAATACTTCGCAGCAAACCGCCTTGTGCTGGTTGGGTTTGCTTCATCTTCCGTTTCGTCCTGCAGGCAGCGGGTGGCTTGTCTCCGGCATCTTCCTCGACTTCGTTCCTTCTGGACTCCGAGGCGCACATCAGAACACACGGCAGGCGTGACCGTGTTCTGGGTATGGAATGGTGGGATGCTATCTCCGCCGACGCGAAAGGTCAGAAGCCCCGAGTTCTTTTCAAACATGCGATGCTGAAGCTTGCGTATTGTGAAGAAAACAGCAAGGCAGTCACGGCCAGCGATGTCCGTAAGATCCTGAGCTCCAGAGATGCGGTTGTGAAGTTGGATGAAGCAGAGGATGCCTTCATCCAGTTCAGGCAGATCTTGGCGAAGGAAGGCATCGATTCTATCCAAGCGCAAGAAGCCATGGCATTTCTGGAACAGGAAGTGGCTGCGTTGGTGCTTGTGAAGAAATTCCGCAAATATGAGGACTATAGTGCTCTCAAGAAGTATATAGGTATACCGATGCCGAGAACGTTTCAGGTTGTCTGACGTATATGGCCTCAGATATTTCCCATAGCCCTCATATTGTAGAAGGCCTATAGAAAACCAATAACCGAAGCTATATGAACCAGATTTATGCGATGTCACTAGGACGTGGCTTCGGCTTGCCATGCGGCACTGGAAGCACTCAGCCAGAAGATCGGTCGTGTCATACCCCATTCCTGGACGCCGAAACCGAAAACCTCGACCGTGTCGCCCAAGAAACCCACCCCTGCAGTGGAAGTTCTTCAGCACCAGCCTGAGTTGGTTGGTTGCAAGTGCATGTTCGGTAGCCCTATAGACTGCACATTCTCCCAATGTAACCAACAGCTCGCTCGTCTCATTTAGGCCAATTCACGAGCTAGATGCCAGTGGAGCAGTTGTCAACGCTGCTCGCGTGGTTTCCAAAGGCTTTCGGGTGGGGGACTTCGTGGAGCGCAAGGCAGACGGTCTGCAAGCCACAGTGAAAGTAGTGGGTGCCGAGAAAGTGGTCTTGGAGCTCCAAGACGGGTCACAGGTTGAGGGCTCCGCACAGTCCTTCTTGGACGGGCACTGGAAACAGAGTGCTCCACGAAGTGATCCAGTGCGATTCGATTCCTGGCCGTCAGTTGTTGGCTTCAAGTCTTTCGAGATGCAGGCACTTCTTCTCCGAGCTCGCATCGTGCATGCCATGGAGGAGCAATTCGAGAAACTCATGGGTGCAAAATCGGTGGCTCTCGGGTTGATTGTCTACCAGAAGCCGAGGGATGTTCGTGCCCATGAAGACTTGGCCGTTAGGCAGCTTCAGCTTCCGGTGACGACGACAAGGATTGAGATCCGTTCCGCCGCCGAGGACCCGAGCAACTCCATTGTGGTGGGACGAACAACCTTAGCAGGCAAGGACGTCTGGGTCATCCTTTCCCCGGTGACCACATGGCCCACGGCTACATGCGAGGGCTTCTTGAACCCATCATGGTTAATGCGACCTTCCGCCGTTCGCAAGGAAGCCAACTGTGAGTTGGTTGGGATTCCGGCGAAGCCAGCAGATCCATTCGAGCTGCCCGTCATCAAGAATTTCAAGAAGATCTCCCAGAACGAGTCCCTCGTGCTCTATCGTCCCGGGAACAAGTCGCCAGCACCAGTGGAGCTGTTGCAGCCTCTGTCCAAGAAGGCTAAGGTTGCCTAGACGTGCGAATCACGCCATGTCGCCAAGCAGAGAGGCCGATTTTGGTAGGAACCATGTTGACTCAGCCACATGCAGGCGCCATGCACACGTACATCTGTACTCATGCTGTGGCCTTCGTGTCGACTCCGTTTTGCCGAGCCTTCTTGTCATGAGTTTTGAAAACACCCCGAAGCCTGCGTCGTGTGAGAAACAAAAGTTGTTTAGGATCTGCCTGTGTTTTGTTCAGCTGCATGCTGGCCGGAGAACTTGCATGACCCAGTATACACGTCGTGCTCTGCATGTTGATGAGACCACAAACAAGAAGACACGACATTGCATAACTGCCCAATCCGGTCGGACAGCTCCCCCAGCTCTTCCCGACTGTTTCGCGCTCTGACTGATGGCGGACCTGGGTGGAATGACGGACGACCAGGTTGCCAATTGGCTGCAGGGTCAGCCTGTGCACCAGAAGCAGCGGCTCTACCACATTCTTCGCCGTGATTGCCCCGGCCTCTTTCGTCCGCAGGCCGCGGTTCAGCGGCTTTTTCTGTGCATGTTCATGGGCACTTAACGTCAGGGTCTGTGTTTCATGTTGAATTGGCTGCAGGGCTGACAGCTCGCGGTCGGGGATAGCAGGGCGAACGGCTCGCTTCCCAGCATATGATGATCATCATTTCGCGTGTGCAACAGCAACACCATGCAATGACACTCATCAACCTATATATATATATATATATATATATAGGCATTCACTATATCATGTCGGTTTTCAAAACTCGGAAGGGGAGGGGGCGTTAACCGTCACCGAAGGTAGACCCTCTGCACTTTCATAATCATCTTCGTTGTTGTAGCTGTATACAGGTACTATATAGTAGCTCTTCCAGCAGTTACCTCGGCCAGCTGCTGTGCAGGATGTTCCCAAAGCTATCTGTTCTTATTGCGGAATCGGTCTGTGTGGTCGCAAGCGGCCCTGCAGCCAGCATCCCGGTCGGCATTCTTGTCATGAATGCCACCAGCAGTGGAAAGTATATGGTGCCAAGGGCGGGGGATCTGAGAAGGGCCAAGGTCTTGCCAAGGGCAGAGGCCCCGGATTGGGCAAAGCATCGTTTCATGCCCGAGGCATAGCCTCGGACGGTTTGTCGGAGCTCGACTAATGACCACATTTATAGTTGCTGCTTCTGCATGCAGAAGCCGCAGAGTATGATGAGGCCAGGCGTTAAAAATACGGTGTACATGTGCTGTTTGCAGACGCGTCAATCTTGGGCTGCGCTTATCATGCGCCAGTACAACTTGAATTGGCTGCAGGGCTCACAGCTCGCGGTCGGGGTTAGCGGTCCCTTTGACTGGGTTTTGGCTGCAGGGCTCACAGCTCGCGGTCGGGGTTAGCGGTCGGGGTCAGCAGGGGCAAGAGCTCGCTTTTCCAGCATGTCGGACAACGAAGTCGACGAGGAAGAGACCCTCGAGATCTGCAAGGTGACGTGTGTGCGGAGCGCGAAGTTCTCTGCGTGGTATCCCAACGTGAAGTTGGTAGATGGCATCGAGTACCTGAAGCTATCGCCCTGGGACAAAGATCTGTGTCGCTTCACCACGGGGATCTACATGCAGATGAAGAAGAAGCGGCAGCAGCCGAAGCACAACATCCACGTCCACTTCTTCCCCGAAACGAAAGCCCGGCGAAAAGAAGCCTGCAACGAAGCCCTGAAGCACTTTCTCTATCGGGCCGCAGATGAGGCCGAAGCGGACAGACCGGACAAGGTCCGCAACGCCAGGGAGGAGGACTCCTGGATCGTGAGCCGCACCGTCGCGGTGTGCATGCCGGACGTCGGCGAGGGGCCCTTGGTGATGACATTCCTGTGGGGCATCAACTCAGCCTTGTTTATGCAACTGACTGTCGCCAACCTCAAGTACGTCCGTGCAGCCATACGGGCTTCACCGACGATAGTGAGGGGTGAAGCTGCAGCTCAGCGGCGCATGTCTGGCAGAAAAGTTGGACGACCTCGCAAGGTGCCACGTGATCCAGTTGCAGCCCTCGGCGATGGTGACCGTCCAGGTCCAGTTGCAGCCCTCGGTGATGGTGACCAACAACCAGCTCCTCGTTCTGATGACGAGGTTGGGTTCATGCAGAAGTTAGCTGTTTCCTATGTTTGTTCATGTGCGGTACCAGAGCATGGTTTTCTTTGACAGCCTATATGCCTCGCAAGTTCTAGCGTCTTTGCAAAGGCACAAGTTGGGACATGACGCGGCCATAGGCTACAGAGTGTCAGAGTGTCCATGACGTGAATGTAAGGGATCGTCCGGCAAAGCAGTCTAGAGATTGTAGTATCCTTAAGGGAGGGGGGTCCAAGGGGGGTATATAGCCTAGTGATCCCTAATTCTCCCTAGTACTCCCTAAGGTTCCCTTACAGTCCCCTAAGGATTCCTTATACCCTCCCCCCTTGAAGGATCCTATAAAGAGATGCAACAACAATTCTGGGTTCAACACTTTCCACCCTTGAACTTGGAGACTGCTGCATCATGCTGGCACGGCAGAGAGAGAGAGAGAGAGAGCCAGAGATAGAGACAGAACACTTTCAACGGGTGTTTCCTTTTTCGCCATGGCCATGGCCGACTTGAAGATCGAGCAGTCCGAGGAAAGCGTGGGCGTGGTGGACTGCAGGTTCGCGTGCATCGAAGTTTCAGGACCCAGAAACCCCCCAATCCGCGCGCAGGTGGTTGGACGTGGCCGACCACCAAGCCGAGACGGAGGACTGCCTTTCTCTTTCTGGAAGTAGTATAGCGCTGCCCACCATGCAGGACGGCGGAAAAGCTTCATGGTCGGAGGCGTCGAGTGGGTGGCAGGCTTCGCAGTGCGAGGACCGTGACCGCAGCCGCAGACTAACTCTCGTGTGCAAGTTCTGAGTTTGTCCAATACAAACTGGCAGGATGAGGGCTCCTATTGGCAATGGAGCAAGGACTGTGACCGTAGCCCCATAGAACAACTCTCATGCGCGAGTTCTGCGCTTGTCTTGCAAACTGGCAGGATGAGAGCTCCGATTGGCAATGGTCATGGTGCAAGGATCCTAACCGAAGAATAAGCCTCAATCTCATGTGGGAGTTCTGATTGTCGAATATACAAACTCGCAGGATGAGCAGGGAGCCACGTGGTCATGGACAAAGGAGGACGTGCATGTCTTCCGAATCGTGTGCCGTTGTACTGGCTTCATGGGCTTATAATTATCGGCCTTGACAGGAGCAGGGAGCTGGCGATTGGCTTGATTGGTCCAAGGAGGAGTTTCGGAGGTGCCACTTCGGTGATATGGAAGCTGTATTGTTCTGCATGCAGGAGCCATCAGCTGCACCTGCAGAATCAGCATCCACGGGCGAGGCCTGGGAGGACTGCTTTTGGAAGAAGGAGAGTTGGCTGTTGTTTCGTTTCAGTGGTCGACGTCAGGAGCCATCGTCATCCTCTGCGACCTGGAACGCTTCGGAGTGGAACGAGGAGAGTTGTTGTGTTGTGGTTTCTGTTGCCGTAGTGCCTGGTTGTTTTCCACGTTAGGAGCGGAAACGACAGCGACGTGGTGATGGTCATGGACAAGTGGTGGCATCAGAGGACGCATAGTCCGAGTCGCGTGCATCATTTGCCGCAGCGCTTTGCAGCCAGGATCGGACGGCCGCTGGGGATGGTGGAGAGTTCCTGGAGCGACTCGGATGTAATTGCAGTGCGTGTCGCGTCGAAATCTACGCACATCTTATATGCATGCAGGCCCGGCGGTGGTCGCCAGCGAGTGAGGCATCGCGCCGGGAAGAAGGAGCAGGGTAAGAGAAAGAGGCTCGAGGCAGAGCATCGGGTTCAGATGAACCAGGCGATGCATACTGTCGGCCTCCTTGCGCAAGCTCTGTGGCGGTCAGGAGGGCAGCGCTGAAGCATCTGCCGTAAACCGATACACAAGCTGTCACAAGCCCAAATATTAAACCGTCGGCTCCTCCTGACAGTCTGTAGCTGTGCACTGCTATAGTCGCTGTGCATGCCGGCCTCAGGGGTTTGTAAGCGGTCCTTCGGTGCCCGGTTATAGGGTTTGTGGGGGGTGTCGGTTCTAGGAATTATGCTATATATGAATTAAAGGGTTGAGGGTTTGGTGTCGAGGGCTTGCATGGGGTTTATATATCTACAGGGATTTAGGCTTCATGCAGGGTTTATGGTTTCAGCTGAGAAAAGAGAGGCCAATGGCAGCACAAAGGGTCTTCGCGTGGCTCTGTTCACCGCACATGTGCAGGCCTGCAGTCAAACTATCTCCACATAATATAATTTTATGTACATGGACATGTCATATAGCACATCTACATGACATGGCTGTCTGTCCTGCAACACGGCTATCTGTCGTCATCTCATGTCCCTGCCTGATGTCTTCGATGCCGTGACTTTTGTGGCTGCAGAGGATGCATGGACTGCCACTTTGTGCTACATGTTATATATATATATATATATGTGCACCTATGTCGACTTGCCAGGAGACTTGCACACGTAGTCCAAGCAGCTGCTATAGCACTGTATATAGAGGCAGAAACACAATGAGACACGTATCATGCAACCTGTGCGCAAGTATACGTATATATTGCCATGCTGCACACACACACACACACACATCCAGGCATCTATGCATTCTTCGTGCCCGCTTGTGCATTATGCTTCTGGGCCCTGCCGACGTTCACTTGCAGGCTTCGGATTGAAAAAGAAATCGCCGTGTGCGCAGCCTCGGACATTCAACGAAAGCCAGACTTCGGCCACCATGCTAAGACTTATGATGCAGTTTTTGACTTCAGCAACAGGACCTTTCTTACAAGCGGGTGTCACACTTACCTAAGTTTCCTTGGACTCGAGCCCATATAGACGCGGAAGCTGTATGGCTAAGTATTTCAAGGATGGTGTGGGGATACGTCGTTCTCGATAGGTGTTTCTGACATTAACAATTGTCGAGTAAAGTTGTTGCATAGGCTTATGCAAGCGAACTTGAGTATGACTATCCGTCACTCCGGAAGTCTTCTTTACACAGGTCATAAACCAGAAACCCAGTTCCGAGTCAGTCTATGTACGTTGGCAACGAGCACGACCCAGAAGTTTCAGGCATGTGCCGGGTCCTGAATATCAGACATCCTCTTTCATTCGGGGTTCCGTCGAGGTGCGGCTTCAAAGATTCTGCCCAAAGGGTGTTATCAGTTGTGCAGGGGAATGGCTGCACTCACGGCGACGACTGCATGCTCTCGTTCATAAGAGCAAATGTCCTGTGGAAGCACAAGACAATGATTGCATGTTTTCCGGGGGTGATGGATCAGCTGCGACTAGGGCACACTCGAGTGCAAGTTCATAGGGCGACTGGCATCCTATATGGAGGCGATGTCGGGTAACAGAGCTATCAATCTGTCAATCCGGACGAAAGAGCTATCAATCTGTCAATCCGGACGAAAGAGCTATCAATCTGTCAATCCGGACGAAAGAGCTATCAATCTGTCGATTCAGACGAAAGAGCTATCAATCTGTCAATCCAGACGAAAGAGCTAGGACCTAGGAGCAAAGAGCTATCAAGCTCTCATTCCGGAGGAAAGAGCTATCAGTGTGTCAATGACTGGATCCATCGGCGGACGCGCCATATGTGTCAGCCAAATGCACTGCCTGCTGCGGCATCGAGTGTATGCGTGCTGAGTCAACATAAAAGAAAGATCGCATCATATTCTCGCGGAATTCCCGGTGTACTGCAGTGTACTGTATGGTGCACAGAAAGCATGGCTTATTGGCCAAAGCTGAGGCTGCAAGGTGTAAATAAAGCAGCATGCAGTTTGCATCTTACATGGGCAAGCACAAATACTCGTGCGTGGTCATTCAATGATATGCCATCAGGGCATATGGTTGTTCAGGCTAGACTTCAGACTCGCTCAAAGTTCTGTGAGCGGATCCGTCGTGAGGTATGTTTGTTTGTGTCAGGCGTTCGCAGCGGGTGTACAAGGCCGCCTTCTGCAAGGAAGACTGGATTAAATGAATACAAGCTCGGTGTAATTTGTTAGTACCCTGGATGTCGGCATGCATGCAGTGAACAAAACTATAGTCTTGACTTAACTTGATTTACCGTCCGCCCCCCCCCCCCCCAAGGATACCGAAATCGATCTCCGCCCAGCGGCATGAAATTAGTCGGCGGTAAAATCTCTGAACAGTCCCTATCTTTTCCATAAGCTGCAGCTGCTAGAAAATGCTAAATGCTTGAAAAAGATGCTTCGGCGATGCAAAAGTGCAAAAATCCTAAAAAAAAATCGGCGATAGTGGCCCCCTCCCAATATCAGCGGATCTGTAAGAAAACAACACGATTTTGGCTGCCATTAAAAAAAATTATTTATTTTTATGGCCGCCATAAAAATAAATATTTTTTTTTAATGGCAACCTGGATTCTATAATTTCCAATAAATTCTCAGATTTATGGCGCCATTAAAAAAAAATATTTATTTTTATGGCCGCCAAAAACCTATGAATTTTAGGCAGTGCTCCCACCCCAGCGTGGGGAAGCCGACCTGTGCTGTAGCCAGCAACAACTCTATACCTGAGATGGTGCTTCCGGCTCAGGACCGGAGTTTTTTTGTTTGAAATCATTGTCTGGTCATGTGGCAGCCTTCTTTGGGAAAGTGGTCCCGACGACAGTCCTTCTCGGAAACAAACACTTTTTGTTCGCCCAAGCAGGCACATGTTACATGTCAGCTCTGTACTCTCGTGTCTTGGGCACGACCTAGGACACATATCGTTTTCCCCCACACTGTTTTCTCAAGCCGAGATCTTCAGTCTTCCCTGCCGTTTCTGAGCCTTGTTGAATGCATTCCTGCACCGAACAAAACGGATATGCCTGGGGGTCGTGTCGGAAAACATGGGTTTGCCTTGGCTCGGCGGCATTGGCCGGGATTCTGCAAGTTGCTTCGCAGCATGATCGGCACAGGCCCAGGTCTTTGCAGAGGCTGCCTGTTTCTGCCAGGACCCATCAGAAGACAATGAGAACTGAGGTGACAAACCTATAGACCGGAGCTGGTGTGTGTATATGGGGTCAGCAAGACAGCAGGGGAGCCTGCAGCTTGCTGGGAAAACCAAAGGTCGCTCAGAAGGGCTGTGGGGCATGTGCGCTCGCTGCCCAAGCTCGCAGGGCACAGCTCGCGATCTTTTGTTTCTAGGGGGTCCGCGAAAGACAGCAGGGGAGTCATCAGCTTGCCGAGAAAAAACAAAGGTCCGAAGAAGGGCTGCAGGGCATGTGTGCTCGCAGCCCATGCTTGCAGGGCGATCACGGCTCGCGAGCTAGTTTTCTTTTGTTTGTCTCTGGATCGCAGGAGTTGGTGTAGCAGATCCTAGTTGCGAGAATGTAATCTAATATAATGGCGAAAGAACTCATCCAAGACCTCCAGGAGCTGTCCGGCTTCCTGCAAGGACAACGACAAGTCATGAACGATGCTGCTTTCGGCGTGGCATGCTCATCGCATGCGGAAAATGTCAAACGTAGAATCAGCGGCTTGCCCAGCTTGGGAACGAGGGATGGGACGGAGCTACTGAAGGCAGTCAACGGGCTTCCCTTTGAAGCACAAGTGAAGCAGGACATTTCGGAGGCGGTAAATCAGGTGCTTCTGAGAGCGCCGAAGCCGCAGGGGTCGCAGAGGGCCTTGCAGGCGTGCGCGACGTTCGGGTCCTTTTTGTCGAAGAAGGACAGGGAGATCCTGGGCGACCCCGAGACCGCGGAGGTCGACAAGCTGGACAGGCTGGCAATCCGTGCAATCTCTGTGGGGCTGGTCTACCCCACTGAGTCAACATTTGGCCACCTGGTGGCCGTTGGTATGGCCGCGGGGTTGCAAGGCCAGAACCACGATGACTTCATGGAGCATGTGCTTAAGCTTAAGGCCAAGTTGAAGCACAAACGGGAACCCTTGAAGCACGAGCCCTACGATCGCAATTTTCCGGCTTCGCCAAAGCAGCTACCTCAAGCCGTGTTCCAGAAGGTGTACGGCGAGGACGAGCTGGCGGAGGAGATCCCTGCGAGTGTCATGCGGCAGATCACGAACGACATCGGCGCCCTGCGGAAGAACCACAAAAAGATCAAATCGAATGCGGCTGCTTTGGTGCCTTCTTCCAGTTCGACATCGCGGAATGCGTCAATGCCGGAGCAGGGGTACCAGTTCATGCACATGATGTTCAATTACATGCAGCAGCAGCAGCAGCAGCAACAGGGGAGCGGCGGTGTGACCTTCACGTTCCCCACAAAAAAGAAGCCAAAAGCCTTGCCCGCCGAGCCTGCAGCAGCATTGCCCGAGAACCCTGCAGCAGCATTGCCCGAGGACCCTGCAGCAGCATTGCTCGAGAAGCCTGCAGCAGCATTGCCCGAACACAAGCCTGCAGAAGCATTGCCGGAACAAAAGCCTCGCTCCGCAGAGCCGAGAGCTCCTCTTCTGGCCCTGCCAGACGCAGAAATGAATGTGGCAACAGTGACTCCAGCCGAACAGGCAGAGTGGCTCGATGATAAACCAAAGAAAAAGACCACACCGAAGGCAGCCTCGTTGAAGCGCCCCGCTGCCGCTTTGCAGGGGACACAGAAACACACAACGAAGAAGCCGGCGAGCAAGGGGTGGTGCTTGGAGTGCAGGACCCGGCCGACAGGGCAGGTGGACAAATACTACGTCGCCCCAGACGGGCAGAAGTACCGACTGAGGCACGAAGCAGAGGCAGCCGGATACAAGGACTAGGATCATGCAGGCAGCAAAATCAGTCGCAAGATGGGGTTCCATGGGGTTGCCGTGCGATGGTCTTTCTGTTAGTTGCTTCTGGGTTGCACTTGCTTGCCCGCAGGATCGAAGAGTGATCGAAGAATCAACAGCGTGGTCACGCACGGCCAACAAGCGGTCGCGGGAGCTTCAGTTCTTCAGTGCATGTTGCATATCGCAAAGCGGCCCTGCTTTGCTGCTGTCCGCTGTATTGTAGCTCTGCTAATATACAGTCTGCGTTTTGTGGGTTTTTCAATTTAAGGTGGAAGTTTTGGTTTGGGTGCAGGTTTGGGCCTGCATGTCGTTTCTGTTCAGTTCATGATGGGGGCTTATAGCGGGGCTCTCTTGATGTTGATGTCTTAATCGGAGGCATCTTTTGAATCGGACGCATCTTTTCAGTGATGAACTTGAAGCGAGTTCCAGACCTCGTAGCACCCTGAGACTGATTTCTGACCTGTCCTTGTATGATATGCTGGAAGTATTGATACTCAGAGCATGCATGCAGTTCCGGTCCACGTCACTCTTCTTTGATGCTCCACGTGTTGCATTTCTTTGGGGAGTTGGATGTTCCTGGTTGAGCTTTCGCGGTGGATGGCTCCATGCAGGTGCATGCAGTACAGGGTTTGTGGAATCTTCAGGCCCTGACTCCTGCGCTCCAGTCATGCCAGGGCGTACCAGACAGCCGCCGAAGACTTCAGGAATTACTACTGCTGCTACTACGACTTCGACTGCTACAACTAGAAGAACTCTTGCTGCAGCATATACTCCATCTCCACTATATACTGCTGCTGATATAGCTGCTGCTACGGCTCCTGCATGCTCCTTCTACTCCTATAATACTGCTAGTGCTGCTGCTGCGGCTGCAGCTGCTGCTGCTGCTGCTCCTGATACCGCTATACCACTGCTGCTGATGCCGGTACCGGTACCACTACTGTTTCTGCTACTCCCAGTGATACTGCTACTTTACTGCTACTACGAGGACGACTGCGACTGCTTCTGCTGGTAGCCTGCCTTCCTCTGCATACTCATTATGGCTTCATGCCTCCATGCAAGCTCTAGGTTTCTTAGTCGAGGGTTTTGCAGTTTCGGACTTAGTGTTCGCGATCGCTGATTCATCCCAGGATCTCTCTTGACCGCTCTTTGCTTGGCTCTCCAGCGAAGAACTTTGTTGCAGCTGTTGTGGTGTGCTAGATGCATTAGGAGCAGCGTCCATTTGTCGTTTATTTTCCCAAATGCCGTGCATGACACCGTTGTAGAATGCAACGAGGCAACATAATAATTTTGACACAAACTGGCCAGGGTAATGTAGGATGAGGTTCCGGAGATAGTCTCCACATACTATATTGAGGGGTGCTGAGTGTGCAGGGCAATGCTCGCACACAGGATTGCAGGGCTCCCATGCAGCTCGCATCCTTAGGGTTTTGCATGACTGTGCAGGGCATGGCTTGCACACAGGGTTGATGCCGCTAGACATCACTCGCGTTGGACGCAAATCCTATGTGACGACAAGAGGGCTAGCCGAAGTTCTTGAAGCCGTGAAGAAACACGGATTGCCATCGACAACGTCCCGGTCAGACATCAAACGCAAGAGATCGGCACGCGCTAATGTCATGACTCCGTACGGACACGTGATTCAGCAGTGGCGTTTGCAGACGGAAGACGGCGGGACCGTGGCAATTGACTATTGTCATCCAGCAGCGCTTGTCTGGCATCTTTGCAGCAGCAGCGAGCCGTTGCAAAACCTGTTGCTGGAACGCATGGGTCTGGAGCCCTGCAGCCTCGCGGCGCCCTGGAGAGTAGTTTTCTACTCAGATGAAATAACGCCTGGAAACCAGCTGCGTTCGCGGAACCCCCGCAAACTCCAAGCCATTTACTTCTCCTTCGCCAACCTGGGATCGGCTGCTCTGGGAAAGGAGAAATCGTGGTTTCTCCTCTGCGCCGTGCGCAGCAAGACTGTTCAGAGCTTGCAGTCGGGCATGGGGCAGCTGTGCAGAGCCGCGATGCTCAGCTTCCGCACCCACGGCGCAGACCTGAGCAGCGGCATCCAGCTGTACTGCGGGGAGTCTCGTCCTGTCCTGTGTGCCCAGCTGGGCATCCTGTTGTCCGACGAAAGCGCGTTGAAGTATATGGCAAACAACAAAGGGGCGTCGGGCAAGTTACCTTGCGTTCTATGCCGAAACGTGATTCATAGAAGGTACAAGCCCGAGAAGATGAGAGAACCACTGGTGACACACACAGACATCAACTACGACCACTTCATCTTGCACACTCAAAAGTCACTTGCTGAAACAGCGGAGTACTTGGAGACTCAGTCAAGAACCTTGAACAAGGGAGCCATGCAGGATCTGCAGACAAAGCTCGGCTTCAACCACGCACCTTTGGGCATACTGGCTTCTTCGGGGTATTTGGAAATGTTATATGGCATGGTTCGTAAATAATGTATGAGATGGTAAGTATAAGTATATATAATGTATGAAAATGAAATGGAAACTTAATTTTGACAAGGGCGCCAAGTTCCGTGTGTAGGCTTGTGAAGAACTGATGTCCAAGCTGGACGTCCCACGCATGTTGCTCTACGACTACATGCACATCTATTTCGTTTCGGGCGTGTGGCATCTCGAGTCGAATTTGCTGTTGCAGCGGCTGGCCAAGTGCAACATCAAGGGCCCTGCTTTCCACCAAAACTTGCAGCGTTGGACATGGCCAACATGGATAACGGACAGAGCAGCCTCAGGCAGCAACATCTTCGAGAACGTAAAAAAAACTGAGGACGAACTAAAAAGTTCAGCAACAGAGGCACTGAGTGCCTATCCAGTTATTCGTGTTTTCATCTCCGATCTTCGGCAGCGGAACACCGAGCTGACCGATGAAGCTCGTGACGCAATGACGTGCTACATTTTGCTTTGCAATGTGCTGGACATTCTGATGCTCGCCTCGCGGGACGGGGGTGCTTCTCATGCAGACAAGCTTCGTGAGAGCATTGAGCGGCACTCTGCCGAGTTTCTCCGTGTGCATGGACCAGACCACTTCCTGCCGAAGCACCATTACGCCGTTCACTTGCCTCAAATGCTGAGGCTGCACGGGTTTCTACTTGCATGCTGGACTCAAGAGCGCCGGCACAAAGAGCTGAAACGCTTTGCCACTGACCAACAGCATAGTCTCCCTGGCACAGAGAAAGGAAATATGGAAGAGATGATCTTGTGTCACATAGAAGACCTGCAAGGTGAGCAGATGGTGACGACCCCAGGGCTCTGTCAGCCGAAGCCTGCAGCACCAGAGGTGCGAGAGCACTTTGCCAACATGGCGGGCTTGACCAGTTGCAGTGGCTTGGAAGCTTCATGCAAGGCCTTCTACAAAGCAAACTGTTCGGCGAGCACTGGCGACATCGTCCTTCTCCGAGAGCCCGAATCCATAGCGGAAGTTCTATATCACTGCACGTACCAGGGCGACATGTTCACGTGTGTTTTCTTGTATTCCAGCCGGAATGAACCGAATCATTTCAATGTAGACAGAGATTGCGCATGCATTGTCAGAACCAGCAGCATACGAGGCTGTTGCATCTGGCAGGAACACGAAGGCATCTGCCGCATAGCACCACAGATGTTCGACGAGTGATGAGTTCATTCGGGGATGGAGGGCTTTCGACAGTGCATAAAAACATCCGCAGGGCCAGGCTCGCGGATGCAGGCTTGCAGGGCCGTGGTGCTCGCGGCCTCGCGCATGCATGTTCCCCCCCAGAATCTAAACAGACCCATGTGCTAGGTCGGGTCTCAAAGCCGAATAAACCCTTATACTGACCTAAACCCTGTATACACTATACCCTTAACAAGAAAGCCCGGTAAAGGTGTATATGATCTATGCTGATTTTCAAGTTCAAAGACCTGCAGGTTCAGTTATAAGGGTGTTTTAGCATTCTGGAGCCGACATGGCAAACTGAGACTTCTGGGTTCTTTCTTGAAGTCTGGAGTAAGGACTTGCTCGGATAGGCCGTTTGACGGTTTGAGGCGGCAAAGGCGTGGGATAAGCGTTTGGGCACTTTCGTTGGGGTCGGCTGATGTGCGCAACGTTTTTTCGTGGAAACTGGATTTTTTTCAGAAACCAGAAATCCGGCCGCGCGATGGGGGGTCTAGGATGAGCCTTATATATGGACTTTCATAGTGATACTGTATAATATTATAAGGTTCAACTCAGGCGGAGTGTCCGACTTGATGCGGTGATTCATGATACATCGATGAAATCCTGTGGCTTGGCCGACGACGCATCTTTCAAGGCTCCTGGTTAGCTTCCGACGGTAGGCAGCATCGTGCCAAAATCACAGAACAGCACTGTACCAGCAACAACACTAGCAGAACTCAACCCTCAGCCTGAACCCTGAGCCTTGAGACCTTGAGAACCCCGAATCGTAAACACAAAGACACCCTCGCCCCTCGGCCCTCGACCTCGGACCCAAAGCCTAAACCAAAGCCCCTGCTTTAAACCCATATACTAAAACCTGAACTTGTTTGGGATCCTGTATATGTATATATTTTATATCATATATACACATTTGTGTGGTATGTATGTTTGTACACAGAGATATACATATATATATATGTATATATATATATATATAAATACATATATATATATATATACACACATGCGCACACACACACACACACGGAGCCGCAAAAGCGCCGAGGCATCCTGCCATCCCGCATCCTGCCTGGAGCCGGGTGGCCCCGAGACAGTCGGGCACCCGGGTGCGAGGGTTCGAGTTCGAGGGCTCGTCTCTGTTTTGGGTCGGTTTGCTGCGGTTTTCAGTTCACAGAGTTCACCGTCAGTGGCTTCACGTACTAGGGATGTAGGGTCGGCTTTGAGATTACGGGGTGGGTAGAGCCGAGCTTTCACAGCCTGAATCCCCAACCCGAATCCCGAAGCTCTAACTTCCCTGTTCCTGAACCCCTGTGCTCAACATCCTAACCTGCCTGGAACGTGCGAACTTTAAGACGGAGTCCTTACTTTCAGACGGTCCAAACGGAGGCCCTAAACCGAAAAAGTGTCCGGAGATGCATTTTCTGAGGCCCAAGTCGGAGCATTCACATCATGTTGCAGACAACATTCTGAGCATTTCTCGTGCGAGATTAGCTCATCATAGCATAACTACATTCTGGCAACCAGACCTATATAAGCTCTCGGGCCCTGAATGAACAGCGGCTTTTCCGTTTCCTCTCCCTCGGAACTTAGGAGGTCCATGGGTCCATGAGGGGGAAAGGTATCGGGGAAGTCGAGCGAATGTGAGTTTTTGATGTAAGCATTGCCTCTTTTGGCAGTTCATCTGTGCGGAAGACATAGTCACCAGTCAGGTGGGGACTTTGGCTGAGGCGGCACATCTGTTGAATGATAACGCAGGTGTCCTAAGGTAAGCTCCAAGCCATGGTGGTAACGGTTGGCCAGCTGCGTCGGCAGATCGGCACGCTGCTGCGCTTGCAGACCTTGACCGCTGGCAAGGTGGAGCAGCTGCTGAAGATGCTGGAGTGGTCCGACTCCATTATGGCGCGGATCATCCGCGACATCGAGTCGCAGGGCGACACGTCTGTCGAGGACATCGCGAACATCCTCGGCGTTTGCACCAAGGCCAATGGCAACCGGGTTCCGACAAGGAAGGAGCTGCAGGATGCGGATATCGGTGCATCGGGGCTGGAGTCTGAGTCTGAAGAGCCGGCTCCGAAGCGCAGGCGACGCTGAGACAGGTCAGCTTTACCCTACTGATGAACAAGATGCTGCGACTGCGACTGGCTGATTGTCTGCTGGCTATTCATGAAAATCGTCTGTCTGGGTACTTCAAGACGTCGGCCGCAGTGTGGCAGCCCGTTCTCGGTGAGTTTTTGGCTATGATCGAAAGTAGATCTGTTCAGCAGGTCATGTCGGCCGTCCTTCTTCGGCCGAATGGCTATGATCGAATGTAGATCTGTTCAGCAAATCATGTCGGCCTTCCTTCTTCGGCCGAATGGCTATGATCGAAAGTAGATCTGTTCTGCGTCTAAAAGTGTGCTTGAGTGCTGTGCGGGTTTCCTTATATGTCCCCCTAAATACCGGTTTTCCCGAATCCCGAACCCCTAAGAATTCAGGGCACCTGGACCCGGGCCCGCCGAACTCCATCGAATTGCATAGGCTTCCTTTTCCCTCCTGTCTCTTCCGTCCTCCTAATCCCTTTGCTGCTGAGGCTGCGCCTTCGACATCATCGACTTTGGGCCTGGACCTCGTTTGCATCAGCCGCTAAACTTTCCAACCCAATAACACTCAACCTCAAACCATAAAATCAAACCTCTAAACCCTTGGACCCCTGGAGCCCGAGTCGCCGAGTCCTTGAGCCTTCGAAACTCCCAAACTCAGGGTTAAGGGTCCCTTAAGGGTTGAGGGTTTTTTGGGGTTGGGGGTTGGGGTTTAGTTCGGCTCTGGCCCTCGGAACATTGGAGGATTTTGGTCTGGGTTGGGTTCATCCTTTCGCTTTCTCCCGGGTTCGAGAGTTCGAGGCTGCACGGCTTGTTTTAAGGCTTCCCTTGCACTTTCGTATGAGGATTCTTTTGATTCAGGTGCATGTAGGGTCTGTAGGGTTCAGGGCGAGTTTTGGGCTTTGTTAGGTTTCTATCCGGCAGGATAGTTTGAAATCCAATTGAATATTATTAGGAATATATTTTGGACATACATCTCGTTTATATGTCGTTTTACATTTCTATAACATACTACTAAACTCCTACCCCGAAAACCAAACCGATACCGCCGCCGATACCGAACAATGTCGCATGCTCGGCTCACTCAGGTCTACCGTCTACTACATCGTCGTGCCACTGGATTTCGAGACCGTCGGTCTGGTGCCTACTGTTTGATAGCTGTTCGGGTTCGGGTTTAGATTTGGGGCTGCTTCCCTTTCCAATAGTTCTGAGTTCTGAGCCGCAAGTCGCCGTCCACATGTTTCTGCCATGTAGTTGTAGTTACTGGTATTGCAGCTTTTATTGGACTGCTTTGCCCAGGTCAGCAGCTCCTCGCCGTCAGCGATTTCGAGGTGTCGGTTGTTTGTGCGGTTTGGGTTTGCGTTTGGGCCGGGTTTTGCGCTTTGCGGCTTCCCTTTCGGGTCCCTTTCTGCCTCCGGTGTGCACGCATGTATCTTCACTTTGTTGCGCTGCTCAGCACTGCCCAGGTGGACCACATCCTTCACCGATTTCGAGACTGTCGGTCTGGTGCCTACGTGTTGATCGGCGTTCGCGGTTTTGGGTTTTGAACGGTTCGGGTTTGGGTTGCACTTTTGTGGCTTCCCTTTCGCTGTCCGGTTTCAACCTCGCGTGTTCTTGTTTTGGGCGGTTTCTCTGCACACATTCGCAACTGAGTCAGATCTGACGCATGTAGAGCTTGCCGATGTTGCCGGGACCCAGGATTGCCAATTGACAGCATTCGACAA